GGCCCCATCAGTAGGGGAGGCACTAACGTGTGCATACACCGTGCCCACCGGACAGGAAGGGGCGCCGAGACCGGTGGCCCTGCACGTAGGGGTGGTCTTCGCGTCCAGAGTGGGGGAGGGGGGGGAGCTGCACCCGCCCGGTCTCGTCGTGGCTACGCGGCTTAGGGGCGGCGCCGCGTGCCCGCAGGACATTGGCTGGAGGCTGAGCGGCCAGAAGGGCAGCCTGGCCGAGGGGGTGGTTGCGGCGCGCCACTTCAACGAGGTGCAGATCTCGGGCGACCTCGTCATCAAGACGGCCGCCACCTCGGTGCTGCGTGGCGAGATGTTCTTCTACAGCCGCATGCCGGCGCGCGCCGCCTCCGTGCCGCCGGACCGCGGCGGGAGCCTTGCCTGGGGGAGCCTCGCCTGACCCTCCCCCCACACCCGCCCTCCCCCTCGCTGCAGGCCGACATCGCCGACCTCTTCCCCCGCCTCCTCTCCTCGTCGGACGACAAGGACAAGGAGGGGCGACCCCACTCGACGTCGCGCAACGGGACGCCGCCCGTCCTGAGCGCGCCGCCAAACGTACAGCTCGCCGAGGCGGCGGCAAGGCTGTGAACGGCGTCTCTTCACACCTGCAGCTGTGAACAGGTACAGATCGCCGAGGCCGCGGCCGCCGCCGCGGGCGAGCGACACGGCGACGGCGCCGACGCCGTTCCGGCGGCGCGCAGCGGCGGCGCCCTGCCCGCGAAGCCGTCGCCGCTCGCGCGGGTGAGCGCCGAGGCGTCGGGCCTCGTGGTGCCCCCCTCGCCGCGCTCGTCGGGCAACGGCTCCTCGATGACGCTGCAGCGCGTGAGCGGCGTCTCTTCACGCCTGCAGCTGTGAACAGGCAACGTCTCCTCGATGACGCTGCAGCGCGTGAGCGGCGTCACCTTTTCGCACCTCGTCACGTCGCGCTGCCTCACGCCCGGCCGGCTTACGGCTGTGAACGGCGTCTCTTCACACCTGCAGCTGTGAACAGGTCGCGCTGCCTCACGCCCGGCCGACTCCGGCTGCTCCTCTCTGCGCTGAGGCGGCTGCACTCCTCCGAGGGGGTGGCCTAGACACTTCCCTAGACACTTCCTAGACACTTCCTAATAGGCGGCTGCACTCCTCCGAGGGCGACCCGGCCTCGCTCCTGCCCGAGGCGGAGGTCGACCTGGGCGCGAACTACCTGCCCAAGCTCCGCAAGCGCTACTCGACCCACGAGTCGCTCTACACGTCTGTGAACGGCGTCTCTTCACACCTGCAGCTGTGAACAGGCGCTACTCGACCCACGAGTCGCTCTACACGTCTGTGAACGGCGTCTCTTCACACCTGCAGCTGTGAACAGGCGCTACTCGACCCACGAGTCGCTCTACACGTCGCTCTGCCCGACGGCGCCGCAGATGCACGCCAAGATCTGCTCGGAGCTGGAGCTCTACATGGCGTCGAGGCGGTTCCGCCACGCGCGCGTCATCCATGGAGACCCCGCAAGGCTGTGAACGGCGTCTCTTCACACCTGCAGCTGTGAACAGGCGCGCGTCATCCATGGAGACCCCGTCTTCTCGAACGTGCTGCTCACCGACGCGCCCTCCGTCTTCCTGCTCGACATGCGCGGCGAGGTCGGCAGCACGCTCACGCTGCAGGGCGACATGCTGTACGACCTGTCCAAGGTGTACCAGTCGCTGCTCGGCTACGACTTCATCATCCTCAACCAGCCGCTCAACGAGCGAGACGCCGAGATCCTCGAGGAGCTGCGCGGCGAGTTCGCCGCCTTTGTCGCCGCGGAGTACGCCGACGAGGGCGTCGAGATGCACGACGTCGTCAAGCTGACCGCGTCGCACTACTTTGGCATCGTGCCGCTCCACCAGAACCAGAGCCACCGGCTCGCGTACCTCGAGACGTGCAAGGCGCTCCTCTCGTCGCTACCGCCGTAGGGCCTGGCGCCGCTGCGCGGAGGGGGAGCGCGGGAGCGAGCGAAAGGGGGCGTGGCGTATGTGTGCGGGGTAAGGAAGGAACTCGCGCGTCGCGCGTTTGCAGAAACTTCCCTCTGCCGTGAGGCTGTGAAAGGGTCGGCCCATACGCCACAGGCGATGTCTGAAGAGTGTCCCTGCGCGCGAGCTCTAACAAAGAGAAAGAAAACAGAGATACTTCAGCACCTCACCTGTCCACCTGCACGGACTCCATGCGGAGCCTCGAGACCTCGTACGAGAGAGTATGGGCTATGGCCCCAAGGCGGTTTGCAAAACTTATCGTCCTCTCGATGACGGTGTATGACAGTGTCTGGCAGACAGGGACCAGTCGCGCGGGCGCTGCAGGGAGGGACACCATCTTGAAGCGCTTATGCTCATGTGCTTGTGGGCAGAGCGATACCCGCCCGCCGCCGCACCCGCGCCTAAGCCCACTACATCAAGACTGCGATAGAAGCGCTTCGCGCCGTTCCCATCAGCGCCACCGCCTCCCACGCGCCCACTGCCGGGTCGTACCGCTCCACCGAGCTGAGGACGCCGTTGTTGAAGCCTCCGTCCCGCCCACCGACAGCATACAGCTTGCCGTCGAGCACCGCCACAGCGAGACCCCACCGCGCCGTCCCCATCGGCGCCACTGCCTCCCACGCATTCGTCGCGGGGTCGTACCGCTCCACCGAGCTGAGGACGTCGTAGAAGGCATCCTGTCCGCCCACAGCGTACAGCTTGCCGTCCAGCACCGCCACACCATGGTCGCTCCGCGCCGCTGCCATCGGAGCCACAGCTGATGACGCCGTCGGTGTAGCCTCCCACAGCGTACAACTTGCCGTCGAGCACCGCCACGGCATGATTCACCCGCGCCTCCGCCATCGGCGCCACCACCTCCCACACATCTAGCGCCGGGTCGTACCTCTCCACCGAGCTGAGGGAGCCGTCGTTGGGGTTGGAGTGCCACCCACAGCATAAAGCTTGCTGTCGAGCACCGCCGACAAAAAAAGGGGCCATCGGCGCCACCGCCTCCCACGACGTAGCAAAGTCGTGCTGCTCCACCGAGTTGGAAGTTGCGTCGTCCTCACTCTCGCCGCCCACCACGTAAAGCTTGCCATCCAGCACCGCCGCCCCGACAAATAGATTCGTGCCGTCGGCATCGGCGCCACAGCCTCTTCCTCCCACTCATTTGTTGACGGATCGTACCTCTCAATCGAGTTGACAAACTCGCCATCGCTGTCGTGGCCGCCAAACACGAGCATGCGCGGACATCGGCCCGCGCGCCGTTGCCGCGCACCCTGAGCCCGAGCTTGGCCATGAGCGCTACGAGCTCGTCGCTGCTGACCTCCGCCGCCGCCTCCTCCTCCTCCCCGCCGCCCTCCGCCGTGCCGAGGTAGGCGCGCACCTCGTTCGGCGGGAGCACGCTCCTCCAATTCTCGGCGAACCACACCTACGACGCCTTGTCGAGTCGGCGTCAAACTCGCACTACTCGAACGGCAGCGTGGAGACGGGGCAGTAGGCGACGCTGCGCACGCGCGTCGTCTCGGGCATGTTGACGAGCTCAGCGACATCCGTCCGCGTCGCCTCGCCCTCCTCTGCCATGGCAATGGCTGAGAACGCGGGGCGCGGCTTGGAGGCGTCGCGGCTCGCGCACGCGCTGTGAGCTTCCGCCGGGCCGCTGTCACAATGGCTTCCGTCGTGGGGGATGACTTCGGCTTCCTTTTCACCCACCCTGACCAAAATCTCCGACTCCCTCGTGCCGATGTGCTGAGGGTTGCATCCCGCATCAAGATGCACGAGGAGCAGGACGATGGCACCCAGCGCCTGCTCCGGTTCTCCAATGCAACGCGCAACGAGTTGGCGAAGGCGATCCCGTCTGATGGGGTCGGACAGCGCCCCTACTACGTCGGCCCTCGACCAACTTTCACCGTGGATGCCGCTCACCACGAAATTCTCGGGGAGTATCCGGCCGCCTTCTTCGACAAGTGGCGGGAGCTCGAGGGCGCCTTTGGCAAGACTGCTCCCACCAAGGTCAACGTTGTCTTCGCCGCCAACGGCGCCACTGCAGCCGAGGAGGTGACGCGAGGCTTCGATCTGATTCCGTCCCAGGTCTCCATGACTGCCAAGGAGGTGGCGTTCGCGGAGTTCCTCGCTCCCCGCGCGGGTTACAGCGGTGGATTCGCCTTCGCCCTGAGCGACGACAGAACCCGACTTTGCATCGGCTGCACCGGCGTGGCGCCATTTCCTCGACACGCCTCTGAAGACGCTGATGAAGCGCATTCTCAAGTACAACCGCCGACTTGGATTCGCGGTCAGGCCCGCGAGGTGGCGCCCATTCCTGACAAACAACATGGCATGGACATGGACATGGACATGGACATGGACATGGACATGGACATGGACATGGACATGGACATGGACATGGACATGGACATGGACTTTGATGACAAGATGCTCATCCACGTGGTGAATCGGTCGCCCCGCTATGGGTTGGTGGCGAGCGGGTTCCCTACCGCCGCCGAGACAGCGAGGAACTTCTCGGTCGCCTCGATGCAGACGGTGTGCCGGCCCGCGTCGTCCGGACCGGTGGAGCAGTAGCCGTCCCGGTAGAAGCCGGTGCCGATGCCGCTGCCGTGGACATCAGCGCAGCAGCAACCGAGCTCCGTCCCGAGGACATTCTTGCAGGCTCGCGCGCAGGCTCTTCCGCAGAGTCGAGCCGTGCGGCGGCGGCGCGAGAGACGGCGGCGGCGCGCAGAGCTGGGGCGGGCGTGCGGAAGGAGACGGCCGCGGCGTAGAAGAGCAGCATCGAGCGAGCAGCCATTCACGAGAAGTAGTGTCGACAGCGACCCGCGGAAAAGAATTTTGGTGGCCGGGACTGGCGCGCACTGGCACTAACACAGGTACACCACGGGAGCCGCCTAAGCGACTCCTGCGAGGACGGCGAGGCACTTAGCTCCGTGCACTCGACCCGCCCTCGCCGCAGGCAAGCTCATTCACAATCGGGGAAAAGAATTAATCCTAAACAAAAGAATTTTAGTAGCTAGGCAATGTCTCCTCCGGTGCGGGAAAAGAATTTTTCCGTCCGCAGACCGGATGGCGAGGCGAGCCCCTTTTGGCGATGGAAGGATGGACCCCGCAAAAAGTACACGCCCGCAGCATCTAGTATCGAGTAAAAAAGCTGCTGGGCAAGTCCGCTCGTGCCCTGCTGCATCGAAAAGAAGAATTTAAACAAAACAACTCTCTCTCACAGCACACAGGCTCGACACAGGTGCGAACTGGCGCGTGCTAGTACTATCACCGGCACACCTCGAAAAGAAGAAAAACCCAATCAAGCCGCGCGAATTGCATGGGCAAGGGCGACTTGCGTCCTGTCACGCCAAGTGGTCACGCCAAGTGCTGCGGTCTTGTCATGGACGTACTTCGTCTCCTCGCCGCAGTCTGCGCAGGCGCCGCAGCCAACCAGGCTCCAAACACCATCTGCGGCACGCAGCCCGCTGTCTGCAACGGCACGTTCGCAGGGCGAGCGCTCGACCTTTCGGTGTCTGGCCTGACGGGCACTCTACCGCCTGAGCTGGGAAGCCTCAAGCTCACCAGTCTTGACCTAGCTTTCAACAACATCTCTGGCACCCTACCTCCGGAGCTGGCCAAGCTCACTCAGCTGCAGCAGTTCAACCTGTCTTTCAACAACCTCCTCTCGGGGACAGTGCCTCCGGGGCTAGCCAAGATGTCCCAGCTGCAGCGACTCGATCTGGCTCATACCTCCCTATCTGGATCCATACCGGGGAACATGGGTCAGCTCTCTCAGCTGCAGAGACTCGATATGACTGTCACCGCCATTTCGGGCACACTGCCGCCAACATTGGGCGATCTCTCGCAGCTGAAGGAGCTGACCATTACTGAGAACGGTCTATCAGGCACACTGCCGCCAACGTTCCGCAAGCTCTCGCACCTGGAGTTTCTGAGCGTCGCTCGGGGCAGCCTGTCGGGCACACTGCCGCCATTTTCAGCGCAGCTGGAATATCTTGCTGTGTCTCACAACCGCTTCTCCGGAACCTTGCCGCGTCTCGAAATCTCGCAAACTCTGGCTTTAAGAAACAACTCGTTCGCCTACACGAAGACGTCAGCCCGTGTCTGCGTCCACAACAACATTGAGTGCGTCGGGGTGCCTCCGTTGGGCTGCTCCGCTTTCGCCAACGAGTGGCGCGAGAGCATCTCAAACGCAAACGAGTGTGTACGCTGTGATGTGTCGGCGCCCGCACTCGCCTTCATCGGCGTCGGCTTCGTACTCGTCGTCGTCGGGCTCGTCGTTGTCGTGCGCTTCGCGTTGCGCCATCCTTCGTCGCTGAAGCGCTGGGTCTCCACCGCCACCATCCTCATCAACCACGGCCAGACCGCCAGCACCATTGCGAGCCTTCGGCTAGAGTGGCCTCAAGCCTTGATCGATCTCGCATCGGCGCTGCGTTTAGAACTTCCTCACGCCAGCTGCCTCTTTGGCAAAAACCTGGAGTTGGGATCCCTGCCGCGCTTTGAAGGCTATGCGATTTTCGCGACAGCAGTGGCGCTGGTTTCGCTCGTTGCGCCGCTCATCGCCAAAGCCATCGCCCAGCTTCGCGGGAACCTCACAGCAGCCGACACCGCCGAACTCGCGTCGAGCATCGCATACGCCGTGTTCTTCACGTTTAGCTGGCGCCTCCATTTCGCGTACGTGGTGTACTTTGCGAACGCTCTTGCCACCTCAACTCCCGTGCAAGGACTCTTTGCGCCAGGACGGCTCCGCTGGGACGGCTGGGATGAACTATATCGAGACAGCTACCCTGCCGTGATGTTTCATTTCGCGGAGAGCTTGCTGATGACCCTGCTCCTGTGGGCTCTCTTCGTCCACTTTGCGCGCAACGTCTTCAGCTTTGAGCGCGGTGTCGGCAAGGGCGAGTGGCGCTCGCCCGGTCTCTGTCGGCGCACGGCCATCGCCCCCCGCCGCCTGGAGAGGCAGGTCGCCTTTCTGACCGGCCGCTTCGCCAGGCACGCGCCTCGCTGGCAAATTGTCATCTGGCTGCGCCAGTTCCTCCTCCTCCTCCTCGTCTTTGCCGCAGACTGCATGTACTACAGTCTCTCTCGGGAGGCCTTTCGTTCCGCGCGCTACGCTGGCGCCATAGCCTCGATCGCCATCACAGCCGCATTCTGGCGCGCCCACCATTCCGCCGCTCCCTTCGCCTTCGACTTTCAGAATGCGCTCGAGTCGTGGCTCTACGGCGCCACCGTCGTCCTCCTCGCCCTCACCTGCGCCTACACGGCGCTCGTCGCTCAAGCTGGCGACCTGGGAGTCCCATGCACCGTCGTCGAGCTCCTCATGGCGGCCGTCTTCCTCGGCAGCCTCGTCGGGGGCGCGCTCCTCTCGCTCCGCGAGCTGCGCCGCACGAGGCGCGTGCTCGGTGCCGTCGACCTCTCCGCCGTGCTCGCTGCCGCCGACGCCAAGATCGACGGCGCGCTCAGGGAGCGGCTTCAGGATGGCACCGTGCTGCTACTCCGCTGCAGCTGGCTGGCGTCGCCCGCCTCCGACGCCTTCCTTGGCCGCGACGCCTCTGGCGCCGTCGTCATGAAGAGGCGACAGGACTTGCCACCCGAGGCCTTTGTGCCGTGCGACGAGGCGGTGGCGATGCTCGAGAGAGGCGACCGGTCGGTCCTAGCGCTCTCGTACGGCTGGTTGACGGCGCTGCACCCCGACCCTCACGGCACCACCCTCGCCGCCGTGCGCCGCTTCCTTTCGTCCACCGAGGCAAACGACACGGGGCTCTTTTGGGACTTTTGCAGTCTGCCGCAGCGGGGCCAAAAGGGGGAGGAGAGGAGCGAGGCGGAGAAGAGTGTCTTTGCGCAAGGTCTTGGCATCATGGGGTCCATCTACGCGAGCGTCACCGGCACGGCGGTGCTCCAGCAGCGCGACATCGTCCTACCGCCCGGCGGCGCGGGGAAAGAATCGTACAATCCCACGCCGTACGACGGCGACGGAGGCCGCGGCTGGTGCATATTCGAGCAGGGAGTGGCAATGACGGTGCTGGCGCATCTGGCGGCGGCGGAGAGGCAGCAGGCGGAGAAGGGCGAGGCGATGCCGGAGCGCTTCCGGAGGGCGCAGGCGAGTCGCGCCAAGGTGTACGACATCGGGGGGGAAGCGCCGGTGGCGCGCGAGTGCTCTCTGCCGCCAAGGGAGGTGTGCGCTGAGGCGTGCCGCGCGATCGAGAAGGCTCGCTTCACGGGCAAGGCCGACAAGGTGATGGTGCCGCAGATGCTGGCCGAGTTCGAGTGGGTCGTGGGTGGCACCTTCGAGCAGGTGCTGCAGCATGCTGGTAGCGGCGCGGCGCGCGTAGCCATCCGGCCGGCGGATCTGCAGGCAGTGGCGCGGGGCGCTGACAAGGAGGCAGCGGCGCACGCGTGGAACCAAAAGGTGCAGCAGTGTCCCTCGATGTAGATAGTCCGCCGGCTCGCCCTTCTCGTTTTTGTTAGGTCCACGGACGGAGAATTCTCCCGTAGAGAATTCTTAAAATACAGCCTCTCCCACAACCAGAGAAGAAAAAAGAACCCCTTCGGCGAAGAAGTATTCGAAGGCGCACCGTTGCTGTCGGCAGTGAGAAAAGAAGAAATCCATGCGCGCTCAGTGAGCTTTGGCGGGCGGAGCTCGCCCCTGTTGGCACAAGGATATGTGGCGACTCCTCTGCGTGGCCTCCATCGCGCTGCGTGCGCGTCACCACCCGCGCGCCGACCGAGCGGCTACTGCGGCCGCGGCTTTCGATCGCGTCCACGAGGTGCCCGGAGACGGCGACTGCTTATTCTCAGCGATCGCGGCGGCAGAGGCGCTCGCGGTCGGCTCTATAGTTCCAGCGGGCTCCGCTCTCTCCGCCCGCGCCGCGGAGCTGCGCTCGAGCGCAATGGACCTGCTCTGCCCAACCGGTGTGCCAGACGGCGCGCTGACGCTTGGCGGGCTGCCTGTCGACCTACTCATCGAGCTGCAGCCGGGTGAGGACGGCCGCGGCTACTGCTCGCGTCTGCGGCGACGAGGCGAGTGGGGCTCGACGGCGGAAATTTTAGCGCTCTCGCGCGTGCTCGGGCGGCCAATTTCGGTGCGCACAGACTTTGGCGAGCAGGCGTTTGGAGACGGCGAGGCGAGCGGCGCGCTCGCGCTGCGCTTTCGGGGCAATCATTACGACGCGGTGCGACTACGCGGCGGCGCGTGCGAGGAGACGGGCGCCGAGGAGGCTGTGGGCCGGGTGCTCGACCGGCTGCACGCCACGGCGGCGGCGGCCGACGCCGACGCTTACTTCGCGTTGTTCCGCCCCGAAGCGGTGTTCTATGGCACGGACCCCGGAGAGAGGTGGCAGATGGACGAGTTTCGCGCGTACGCGGGCGCGCGCTTCGCCGCTGGGGACGGGTGGGAGTACTCGGTCCGGGAGCGGCACGTCACCGTGCGTGGGGACGTGGCGTGGTTCGACGAGGCGCTCGATGGGAAGGTCTTGGGGCCGACGAGAGGGACCGGGGTGCTGGTGGACGACGGTGCGGCTGCGGGGGGATGGCGGCTCGCGGCGTACAGCCTCGGCATGGCGGTGCGGAACGAGGTGGCAGGCGAGGTGGCGCGGCTGAACAAGGAGGGGCGCGGTGTGGCGGCGTCGCAGGGCGAATAATGGAAGTGGTTTTTAAGTGATCTCGTTTGTTTCCTTTCGTTTACCCATCTGGCCAGGTAGAGGTGTAAGTTTGATTTATTTATTTATTTATTGTTGATAGCACGCCGGATCGAAGCCTAGCTCTGAAAAAAGAAAGAAAGAAAACGGACAACCCAAGGGAGGGATGGGAGGACGGCACGCCGCCACCACACAGGGATTTTAAGGAGAGGGGTGTGGTGCGCTAGCCGTCGCCCACCCTTGGGCGTCCGCCTCTTCCTATCTCTCTTCGCAGTCTCTCGCCGATTCTCGCTGCAACCTTCATGCCACCTCGCGGTCGTCCCACTCTCGTCGTTCTTTCCCTTGTCGCTTCTTCTTCTGTCGCGTCGCTAGCTCTGAAGACTGTGTCACAAGATGGAAAGAAGTTTCTTGGGCGTTGGGGCGGGCGGCGCGGCGGCGGCGGTATCCGGTAAGGTAAGGTAAGGTAAACTTCTCCACACACACGAGGTGGTGGGGCAAGGGGGGGCAACCCTCGCGTCTCCACGTCTGACGACAGGAGCCCCACGGCATTCAAAGTGCAAGGCCCGGTGCGCGTGGGTGAGCGGTGTGTGTGTGTGTGTGTGTGTGTGTGTGTGTGTGTGTGTGTGTGTGTGTGTGTGTGTGTGTGTGTGTGTGTGTGTGTGTGTGTGTGTGTGTGTGTGTGTGTGTGTGTGTGTGTGTGTGTGTGTGTGTGTGTGTGTGTGTGTCACGTCACTGCATCCTCCGCCGGTTCCTCCCGTCGCCTCTTCTTTGTTCGAATGTTTTTCAATCCATCCTTCACGAAGCCCTCCCATGTAGCTAGCGTTCTTGGCGAATGTCTCGAAATGGCCAGCAGGCGCTGTCTGCTCGCGGTCTGTGCGGGCCGCTCGTCCTCCTCGCCCTTCTTTCGTCCTCCCGTCCCTCCCCTCCACCATGGCCTTCTCGGCACTTCTTTCTCCATCCGCCTCGCCCTGCCTTTTCGCATCGTGCCGTTCGCCCTCCATTCGGTGACCTCCATGGCTGTCCGCCCCTTTTTGGGTGCCGCTCTCGATACGGTTGCGTCAACCTCGACGTCGCTGTCGCCCTCCCCGTCCCCGCCGGCGTCCGTGCCTCGGTTCGCGTCATCGGTAGCGTCTCCGTTGTTCCCTCGTGCCCCGCCGTCGCCCTCTCTGCTCGGGCCGTTAGCGATTTCGCTCCTCCTGCGTGTCGCCCCTCCGTCCCCTCCCCTTTCTTCGTCGTCATCGTCGCTGTCGCGAAAGCCCTCCGGTCCCTCGATTCCCTCGCCTATCCCCTCCGCTGCGTCGTCCCAGTTTATATCCTCATCCTCTGCGCACGTCGCGTTGGCTTCCTCTCTCCCCCTTTCCTCCCTGCCCCTCTCGCTATCTGGTGTTAATGGACCCCCTTCCTCTCCCTCGCCACCGTCACCGTCTCCATCCCCGTCGCTACCGCCCTCCATGCCCGCCGCCCTTTGTTTCACACTCGTCTCTGCCATGTCCGCCGTCGCCGCCGTCCTGTCTGCTGCGCTCTGTGCTCCGTGGTACAGTCGCTTATTGTTGCTCAGGATTAGCTCACGCACCAGGACAGCCTCCTGCTCGTTATTTTGGCTTGCCGATATGCATCCAAAGTTCCACGCTAGCTCCTCCTTCGTCACGTCTATCTTTTTGCAGTATCTCGCGAATGCCGTCCGCGCTTGCTGGGGTGTTATTGCGTTCGGATCCGCCCTGGTCCCCGCCCTGTATCCCATCTCCTTGCGGTGGCTCCTGTATGAGTCCCCATATGACCATGTGATTTCTTGGCCTTCCTTGACTCCCCTCTCTGCAAACAGGACCATCACCTGCGCAGCTGCCTTGCCTAATTGTATCTCCTCGTAGCGTACGAAGTGCGTCGCCCTCGTGCCTCGTTTCGGCTCATTCGATGCTGCAGGCCAGTCGAAGTTACAGCGCGCCGCGACGCTGTCAAAGTCGTCCCCGCTCTCGTCGTCACTTCCATCCAGCTGCGTCCCCCCTGCTGCCGTGTGTCGTGATAGTTCGTCTGGTACTGTCTCTGGTGGCTGCGCCGTTCCTGTCCGGAAGATCTCCCCAGTGTAGATGCTACACCGCGGTATCCGTATCGAAAAGCTTACACTACAGCGGCGCCGGTGCCGTCATGCCGACTGCGGTCCGTTCGTAGTTTTACGCGTTTCAAACGAATCACGTTAAACTTTGTGGCCGCACAGGACCCACGCTTTCAAAATCACGGGTGTCGGGTCTCAGTATCGTTGACGCCATTGACCGGACGGGGAGTTGCACCGCGCCCGAGAGCGAGACTCTGACCCTGGGACTACCCGAGACGGGCGAGAGAGCCTGGAAAGTCTAATCAGATAGAGACGCATGCCGGATCAGCCCGCACGCTCGCCATCGGCGCCACCGCCTCCCACGCATTCGCAGCCGGGACATACCGCTCCACCGAGTTTAGGGGGGCGTCGATGCTGGCTCCGCCCACAGCATAAAGCTTGCCGTCAAGCACCGCCACGCCATGAAAGTATCGCGCTCTCGTCATCGGCGCCACCTCTTCCCAGACGTTCGTCATGGGATCGTACCTCTCGACCGAGCTGAGGACGCCGTTGTCGCTGTTGTAGCCGCCCACAGCGTACAGCTTGCCGTCGAGCTCCGCAACGGCGTGATAAGACCGCCCCGTCGCCATCGGCGCCACCTCCTCCCACGCGTTCGTCGCGGGGTCGTACCGCTCCACCGAGGTGAGGAAGCCACCGTTGAGGCCACCCACAGCATACAACTTGCCGTCGAGCACCGCCACGCCGAAATGGCACCGCGCCCTCGCCATCGGCGCCACCGCCTCCCACGCATTTGTCGCCGGGTCGTACCGCTCCACCGAGCTGAGGCGGGCACCGTTGTGGCCTCCCACAGCGTACAGCTTGCCGTCGAGCACCGCCACGGCGAGCTTTCTCCGGGCCTCCGCCATCGGCGCCACCGCCTCCCACGCATTCGTAGCAAAGTCGTACCGCTCCACCAGGTTGAGAGGTGCGCCGTCCTCACTCTCGCCGCCCACCGCGTAGAGCTTGCCATCGAGCACCGCCGTGCGCGCACCCGTGCGCGCCGTCCGCATCGGCGCCACAGCCTCCTCCTCCCACTCGCTTGTGGACGCGTCGTACTGCTCAATCGAGCTGATGACGCGTCCAGCGCTGTCTTGGCCGCCGATCACGACCAGGCGCGGCCTCTCGCGCTTCTTCAGCGTCTCCTTCCAGCCGCGGCGCCACGCGCGGCACGTCCCCTTGGCGGCGTGCTCCGTGGTCGGCAGCTGGGCGAGGATGTGCGGGGCGAGATCCGGCGAGAGGAGGACCTCGGAGAGCACCCACTCGGGCTGCTCCACGAGCCGTGCGGCGTGCTCCTCCGCCACGCGCATTGCGGCGTCGCTCGCGCCCGCCTGCGCCTCGATGATGGCGCACAGCTGCGCTGGCGAGAGGCCCGCGACGCGCGCGCCGATGCGGTGGGAGGCCATATACACACACACATACTACAAAGGCCTTGGATTTCGCTTCAAGGGTGTGCGGTACTTGTGAATCCTGTTTGTGGCCGCCTTTTGTTTGCTGTGTGGCGTCGCCCATCTCTCCGGGAGATGTCATCGGCCAATTTTGTTTCTTTTTGTGACATCGACGGCTAGCTCAAGAGAAGAAACCGAAAAGCCCCGCGTTCACGGCTTGAATTTACCAGAAGTTGCATGCGAAATCCCTCTTCCGCAGCTCAAGCAATAGCTCGCCGCTGCAGCCTCTTTGTCCCTTCCTTTACAGTACATGTAACTGCGTAGAAGCCTGCGAGGACGAAGCCATAACGCGCTGCGACCGTCGTGCGTCAGGAACGACCACGGCGGCGCGGAGATAAACCGCCCTCATTCCTTTTGATGACCCAGATCCGGGGGAGGCGGGACAAGGATGGAGCCGTCGTGTCACCGACGTCCTGACAGGACGCTGCGGGACATGATCTCGAGCACGAACAAGCACAAGCGACCGCGCTTGCCCGTGTACCCGTACCCGTACGCCGACAGCGTGGCGGTGACGCACAACTTCTGGTTCCCTGCACTTGCCGCAGCCGTGCCGAGCGTTCCCTTCAGCGTCATGCCGACGTACCCAGTCAGCGAGGCACGGGTGCTGCTCACCGCCGGCCAACTGGCTGAGAACGCCCGACTCAGCTTCGTATCGGCCAGCTCGACAGAAGCGGACCAGGTCGCAATCAACGCCGACGAGGCTGCCGCAGTCACACTGGCATGCTTTGCTCTCCGCCCGGCGCAGAAGCGCAAGCGAGTCGAGAGCGGAGACGCGACTCCCGAAAGCCGCGCATCGATGCCACCGCCGCCACCGCCGCCGCCGCGACGCCTGGTAGCGCCGATGCTTCACCCGCCGCCGCCGCCACTTCCACCGCCGCCGCAGCTTCACCGGCCGGCCTTGCCGCCATCGGGACGGATGAAGATGGCTCGGAACGGCCGGATGCCGCCGCAGCAAGTTGCCTGGCTGCATCCCAACCGCACGAATTCAAACAAGTTGGGAGCCTTGCTTGCCTCGCTGCGCCCCAAGTCTGGGTGATCGGGTTGCGTCCTGTGGGCGCCACAGAGACACAACGCACACGACGGCGTGAGAACCTCGCCTAGCTGCAATCGCCTTGCAACCTCCAATCCATGTTCAGTTTGTCAGTCAGGACAGTACACGGTGAGCACGCATCGGATTAGTTAACGTCTTGCCTTTTGGGGCGGTTCGCGTCTCCCACAGTAGTTAGAGCTGCATACCCCCTGGAGCTGTTGTCCGTCAGTCTCTGCTCACTAACTCACGCACTCTGCTTGGCCTTCGTGTGCACACCACGCCACCTCTCGAGACGAGTAGCCTGCAGCGAGTGCAGCACACGCGCACACACACTGTCACCTCCCGTCTCCCATGTTCGACTAGAAGTTCCCTTCCGATGCGCATTTTCCGTTTCGTATATATGTACTACTGTAAGTAAATAGAGCCGAGTTGGCCGTTGCATGACAATGCGATTCAGTGCTGTGCGTGTGTGTGCGTGCGGCGCGTCCGAGATCCAGATCGTGCAAGAAAACACGCACACAATCACAAAGAAGGTACGGCTCTATAAGCAGCTCTGGGCACCCTGCCACGCGCATGCCTCCCGCTCAGCGTCGGTCGGCGTCCCTCCGGTCCGAGTAGTCCCTCTCCCCTCCCTCTTTGTCTGTGTACTCTATGACTGTTCAGGCGTTGTTTTATACGGAATCCGCACGTCACAATGGCCACAACCACAACATGAGAAAATCGTCAAACAAAACAAAAGTCAAGATCTCTCCGTCTCGCTACATCAACACTCTTTCTCGCTACAAAACTGCGCACGGCTAGTCCATGCCTACATATAATGCTACGACCTACGTGTATGTTCATGCACCGAGAGAGGCGCTAAAGAAAGGCCCTATGATTGGCATCCTACAGCAGCGAGAGAGGCGCACCTGTTCTCGACTCGCTCGGGTACCTTTCGGTGCGGCGCGTTAGTGGCCGTGCACGCAGCGGCGCTTCTGTGGCGCCGATGCGGGGGAGATGCCAGAGCCGGCGTAGAAGGCGAGCGGCCTCGCCGGCGACGGGCCAGAGGGGAAGCCCCGACGCTCGGGCGGCACTGAGGGCAATGACGAGGAGCCTGGCAGCGAAGGCGGCGGCAGCGAAGATGGCGGCGAAGGCGGCTCGGGATCGTACTCAATATCGGCACTGCGCACTCGCCTCGCCAGAGCCTGTGCCGCGGCCTCGCTCTCTTCTGCGAGTATGTCAAGGCTGAGACGAGGTTCGTCCGGATCCGCCGCAGGGGCGGCGGGAAGGGCGTGCGGGGGTGCCGCGGCCGGAGCCGCTGCCGCAAGGCACACTCCCGCCGCGAACAGTTGGGGTGACGCCGCGGCGGCGGGCTGCTCCGCTGGCTCTAGCGACGCCTGCAGTTCCGACAGGAAGCTGCGCTCGACCGAGTCGACCGAGGGCCCGCCGGTCTGCGGGTGCGGCGAGTCGGGCATATAAACGCCGAGGGGCTGGGCCATGACGACGGGGAGGACAATCCTCGGTCGGTGGACGGTGGAAGCCTGATCATTTTGGCGGTACAGTTTTCAATCAAAAAGAGCGGGTTCGGCACTACTCTCTCGAGGTCTCAGCGAAGCGCATCGCCCCAGGGTGGGAGTGGAGTCAGAAACACCAAGCAGCGAGGCGAGGGTGAAGGGGTAAGGGGCTGTGTGGGGCAGAATCTTCATCTCTTGACTCTGAGGGAGGGTGTAGAGGATGTACTCCCACCACCGCCCTCTCCACCTCAACCAAGCCCCCCGCCCCTCCACCTCCCTCTCCGCCACCACCATCTCCGTCGCCGCCCCCTCCGCCCCCGCCCTCTCCGCCACCACCCTCTCCGCCTCCCCCACCGCCGCCGCCGCCCTCTCCTCCTCCGCCACGCCAATTTCCCTCGCCCCCGCCCCCCTCTCCACCGCCGCCGTCCCCTCGCCTCAACCTCGTCCAACGGATTGCCTGCGCAAAGACCAAGTACATTGCCGGCATCACGCCGCCCAATGTCGCGTGCGAGGCTCTCGAGTTTGCGCACAACCGCATCCGCAAGTCCTTTGAGAGCATTGCTCGCGCCGACGCCTCGCCCCAGGCGCTCCGCGACCTCGCGTGGCTCCAGGCACAGCTGCCGACCGAGATGGGCGGGTGCAACATCGACACCGCCTTCACGCGAGCCGACAGCGACTTCTCCATGTCGCTCCTCAAGAACTGGCGCACCCTCGTCGCCCACAACCCCGACTTCGCCCTCGACGAGGCAGGTGCGTCCAAGTACCCCGCCATCGCCGCAGCTATCGCCACCTACGAGTCCGCCCTCTCGGACTGGAAGGAGGTGTGCGAGAAGCGCACCGCCCGCGACAAAAACAAGTACTACACCGTCCGCGGCGGCTACCTGACTGAGTTCTACCCCAAGAGCGTCCCGCTCCCCGAGCCCGAGTCCCTTCCAGCTACCGACGCGATTCTCAATGGCACTTGCAAATCCACGTACCCGCGGCCGCGGGCGCTCGCTGCCATCAAGAATCACAAGGACTGGTTCGCGCACCAGGAGCTCGTCAAGGCGCGGGATGTGCACGTCAAGAACAACCCGTCCCTCGGAGACAGCGCCGTCAACAACCGCGAAGCCGCGCGCCTCGTCTCCGCCTCAACGCCTTTCGCCGGCAAGGCCTTCGATGTCCGTGTCGACGGTACGTACGCCACCGCCCTCTCCTCCGACATCCTCCAGGACGAGCTCCAGCGGAAGCTCGGCCTTTGGCTCTCCGCGGCGCTTCCCACCCTACGGGTCGCGCTCGAGCGGGGCATGCCAGTCGATTTCTTCGGCGACTACCTTTACAACAAGGCCCACCACCGGCGGCCCCACGACGGCGTCCTCGCCGCCTGGGCGGACGCGATGCGCGCCCCGGCCAACGCGCCGGTCGTGCACGGTGACAAGGAGAAACCAGAGCTCACCCGGCAGTACAATGAGGGGTACAAGACTGACCTCGCAGAACCCCATGCGGGACCGGGGGGGTGCGATGAGGTGAATGAAGTCAAGCTCTGGACGCCCCTCCTCAAGACCTCCTCGCCGGGCGTTGGCAACGCCTCGAGTGGCGGCACGCCCGCCTCCGTTGGCCACTCCTACGCCTTCGGCAACACCGAAGAGAAGGCCCGCCGCCTAAACATGGGCTGCAAGGCGCGCGGGCAGCCCAGCCAACCCTTCTCCCACAAGACCGGCCACGGCTACGTCAAGGCGCATCGCGGTTTCTACCACGACGCGATCTTTGTCAAGCGCAACAACTTCAACCTGCTGCTCCACGAGACGTTCGGCGGCGGCTTCTCGCCCACCGCCGTTCTCAAGCTGCGCCGCCTCGCGCGCAAAGTCGCGCGCGGCAGCGTTGACCGCACGGCCTACTCGCCCAAGTACTCGCTCTCTTTTATGTCCCACCATGCAGAGCGCATCTCTCTCTCTGTTGTGCGAGGCGTGAACCGCGCCATTCGCTCTCACCTGGCAACCCTGTCTGCACGTCTCGCGCGCGCGTGAACAGGGCTCCAGGCCCCAAATTACGTGTGAGTGTTAGAGTTGTTTGGTATTGCTAAAAATCTCTCTCTCGAGTGCGTGTCGCTTTGGTTGGCGACACCCACTCGTCGAGGGCAGTCCGGCCGACGGGAGCCTGTCGCGCGCCGGCGACGAATGCGGCGTGTGTGTGTGCGTTAGAAGCGACGATGGCACGACCACCGCCCTGCTTCCTTACAATGTGGGACAAACGAGGTAAACCAAAAAGAATTTTTGGGGCGCGTGGTCTCAATGGGCAGCCTGCCCGACGAAGTGACCGATGCGGCTGGGCAAGGCGACGAGGCGGCGCTGCTGGCGTGGCTTGATCGCGGCGGGCAGATGAATGCGATCGACGGGGCGAACAGCAGCACCGCGCTGATGAACGCCGCCTACTTTGGCTACGAGCGGGTCGTCGAGGTGCTGCTGCAGCGCGGCGCAGAGATCAACAAGCAGAGCAGCGACGGCGACACTGCGCTCATGATCGCCGCCCTGTACGGCCACGAGCGGGTGGTTGAGCTGCTGCTGCGGCACGGCGCGGAGGTAAACCAGCAGGACAGCGGCGGCGGCACCGCACTGAGTGGCGCCGCCCAGGAAGGCCACGAGCGGGTGGTCGAGTTGATGCTGCGGCACGGCGCTGATGTCAACCTGCAGGACAGCAACGGCGACACCGCGCTGATGCTCGCCGCCCTCCAAGGCCACGAGCGGGTGGCCGATCTGCTGCTGCACCGCGGCGCGGAGATCAACAAGCAGAGCAGCGGCGGCGGCACCGCGCTGATGAGCGCCGCCGCCAACGGCCTCGAGCGGGTGGTCGACTTGCTGTTGCAGCACGGCGCTCATGTCAACCTGCAGGACAGCGACGGCGACACCGCGCTGATGCTCGCCGCCCAGCATGGCCACGAGCGGGTGGTCGAGTTGCTGCTGCAGCGCGGCGCGGAGATCAACCTACAGAGCAGCAGCGGCAGCACCGCGCTGATGGGCGCCGCCATCCAAGGTCACCCCGCCGTCGTGCTCCGCCTGCTGCGGGCGGGCGCGGATACAAAGCTGCGCACTAAGGACGGCAAGTCAGCGCTGCAGTATGCCAAGGAGAACAGCCACAGCGCGTGCGTCGAGGCCTTCCGGCAGCACATCGCGGAGGTGACTGCGAGCCGGCGCGAGGCGGCGGCGGGCGGCGCGGGCGGCGCTTCCTCGGGCGAAGCGGCGGCGGGGGCGAGTGCCGTGGCCTCTTCCAGCTCGCTTAGCAGCCTTCCTGAAGAGGCCAGGCAAGCAGCTCTCCAAGGCGACGAGGCGGCGCTGCTGGCGTGGCTCGACAGCGGCGGGCGGGTCAATGCGACTTGCGGGGTAGGCGATGCGAGCGCCGTCACCGCGCTGATGCTTGCCGCCCAGTGGGGCCACGAGCGGGTCGTCGAGGTGCTGCTTCAGCGCGGCGCGGAGATCAATTTGCAGGACAGCGACGGCGACACTGCGCTCATGATCGCCGCCCAGGAACGCCACGAGCGGGTAGCCGAGGAGCTGCTGCAGCGCGGCGCGGAGATCAACCTGCAACGCAGCAACGGCGGCACCGCACTGATGTACGCCGCCCAGCATGGCCACGAGCGGGTGGTCGAGTTGATGCTGCGGCACGGCGCTGATGTCAACCTGCAGGACAGCAAAGGCATCACCGCGCTGATGCTCGCCGCCCAGCATGGCCACGAGCGGGCAGTCGATCTGCTGCTGCACCGCGGCGCGGAGATCAACCTGCAGGACAGCGTCGGCGGCACCGCGCTGATGGGCGCCGCCTTCCAAGGCCACCCCGCCGTCGTGCTCCGTTTGCTGCGGGCGGGCGCGGATACAAAGTTGCGCTCTGAGAACGGCAAGTCCGCGCTGCAGCATGCCAAGGAGGAGGGCCACGCCGCGTGCGTCGAGGCGTTCCGGCAGCACATCGCGGAGGTGACTGCGAGCCGGCGCGAGGCGGCGGCGGGCGGCGCGGGCGGCGCTTCCTCGGGCGAGGCGGTGGCGGGAGCGAGTGCCGCGGCCTCTTCCGGCTCACTGGGCAGCCTTCCCGCAGAGGCGGCGAAAGCAGCTCTCCAAGGCGACGAGGCGGCGCTGCTGGCGTGGCTCGACAGCGGCGGGCGGGTCAATGCGACTTGCTGGGATTACGACGTGAGCGGCATCACAGCGCTGGCGCTAGCCGCCCAGGAGGGCCACGAGCGGGTGGTCGATCTGCTGCTGCAGCGCGGGGCGGAGATCAACCTGCAGAGCAGCAGCGGCTGCACCGCGCTGCTGTGCGCCGCCATCCAAGGCTACCCCGCCGTCGTGCTCCGCCTGCTGCGGGCGGGCGCGGACACGGCACTGCGCTCTGAGAACGGCAAGACAGCGCTGCAGTGGGCCAAGGAGAAGGGCCACGCCGAGTGCGTGCGTATCCTCGAGGAGCATGCGGCGGCGGAGGCGGCGGCCGAGGCAGCGGCGAGGGAGGCGGTGAGAGCGGCGGCAGAAGCGGAGGCGGCGCGGCATGCCGAGGCGCTACTGGCGGGGGAGGAGGCGGAGAAGCAGGCGGGGGAGCGCGCCAAGGAGAGCAAGAAGGGGAAGAAGAAGAAGAAGAAGAAGGGGAAGGGTGGCGGAGGGGGCGCTGGCCCGTCGCAGGAGCCCGAGGATGAGGCAGCGCTGGCGGCGGCGGAGGAGGCGGAGTTGGCGGCGGCGCTCGAGGAGAGCGCGAGGCTGGTGGAGGAGAGGCGGGCGCCCGACGAGCAAGCATCGTCCTCTTTGGCTGCAGAGAGGCCGCCTTCGGTGGAGGAGGAGGAGCCGCCGGCCGACTTCATCTGCCCAATCACGACCGAGGTCATGAGCGACCCGGTGATGGCGGCGGACGGGCATGCTTACGAGCGGTCGGCGATCGAGCGCTGGCTCGCGACCAAGTCGACGAGCCCGATGACGGGCGAGGAGCTCCAGCACACTTGCCTCGCCAATCATCACATGCTCCGCCGAATGATTCGAGAGTGGGGAGAGACGCACTCGGCACGATAGTAGGGAAGAAAGCGGAAGGAAAAGTGAAACCTCGGACGACTCAATGCTCTTGCTCAAAAAAAGCTGTTTTGGGGACTGGCGCGCACCGCGCTGGCACTAAGGCCGGCCGCTAGAGCACGTACTGTGCGCGCGGGGGTGAGTGACTTCGAGAAGTCACTTGACTTTGGCGCTGTGGGTTGGTCTTTGGTCTGTGAGAGGTTGAGGTGCGAGCCCTGTTCACAGACGAACGAGGTGATACTCGAGTAGTACGAAACAACAGTCAACAGCCGCGCCCTCCCTCCGGCCCCCGTCGTACTCGGCTGTTGTTTCGTACGGCTGTTGTCTCGAGATGAAGTATTGCGAGCCGCGGGCGTGGAACGCCGCCTTGCGCGCTGCGTCCGACGAGGCCTTGGAGCGTCGGCGCACAGAAGAATTCTTTAAAATACAAGCCGACATGCACTGCTGACTGCTGCCACAATATGCGACCTGTGCTGGCCCACTTGGCGGCCTTCCCGGTCAGTGGTGAGGCGCAGTTCAGAGCTGTCGATGGCGCGATGCCGCACTGCTCCCACATTGGTGACACGAGACCACCAAGTTTGCCAGTCCAAGAGAGAGGCACCGGCGCTGTCCTGTGAAGGTGCGTGGTCCCTCCTGACTGCCCATGCGCGCGAGGCTGTGTAGGCATAGCCTCGAGAGTGCCAGCAGCCAATCCGTGAATCCGAGGCGACGCGCATTGCGCCAGAAGCGTCTCTCACAGCACAGGTAGGTAGGTAGGTAGAAAGGTGAAGAACGGCCAGGCTCGGACTGGACACCAACGCGGTATGGGTGGACGCTAGACAGATGATAGCACACTGGCACGACAAGGGCGCGGACTGGCGCGACTGTACAAAAATAATTGGGGAAAAATTCCGCCGCTGAGGGCGCTCGTGCGGCAATAGCCGGGTGGAGGAGGGAGCGTGCCGGACGGGGCGTCGTCGCGCCGTCCGATGGTCTGCTGCCCCGCGCAGCAACGTCGGGCGACGACCCGGGGGCCAAAAACCCGGCGACGACGGCGCTCTGGATGGGGCGTGACCTCCTGCCTCCAACCTCCTTCCTTTTTGAGCAGGTGTGACGCCGCGCGAGCGACGCTCCGAGATCGCCCGAGATAGCGCGGCGCGGCGGTGGGTGAGGTGGGGTGGGGTGGAGAGGCGTGGCGTGGAGCTCCGAGATCGCCCGAGATCGCGCGAGATCGCCCGAGATCGCGCGGCGCGGCCCGAGGCGAGTGGATGGGTTCTATGGGTTGGGAGCGAGGGGGCGGAAGTGATCAGTGCGGTAGATCGGTCAGTCGGGGCGCATGAGCCGGACTTGTGGGCCGGACCACCCAAGTCCTTTATCTGCGTTGTTGAGCCAGGACTCAACATACTCGTTCTGTTGCCGTCCCAAACTGTCACTCCCCTTTCTCCCGGCCGGGGCGGGGCGCGCGCGGGGGCGGCGGGTGTGCGGCGAGTGTGCGGGATGTCTGTGGGCCCGAGAGCGATATGCCATGTGCGCCTTGCGTTGTTTCATAACATCGAAAGAAAGAAAGAAAGAAAGAAAACAGACACGCCAAACGAGGGATGGGACGAGGACATGGTCCCCACCTGCACGAGCAGGATTTTGGAAGAACGATCAGGGGGACAGGTGGGGCTCTCCTGCTCCTGACAAGGGACACGACAGGCTCGCAGCGCGGTGCGCGGTGGACTCCCACATCCACTGGCGGTCTCATCTCAGTCTAGCGACCTGCCTCCAGCTTGTCGCTGGCAGTCTCTCCTACCACAGGCACACGACACTGACACAGGGGTGGCAGGGGCGGCGGCACGAGTCTCCCACATACTATGCGGGCCTCACTAGAGGTGCGGCCTGTGCGTGTCCTCGCCCTTGAGGGGGGAGGGGAAGGGGCTGTGTGTCTGTGCATGTGTGTGTGTGTGTGTGTGTGTGTGTGTGTGTGTGTGTGTGTGTGTGTGTGTGTGTGTGTGTGTGTGTGTGTGTGTGTGTGTGTGTGTGTGTGTGCGTGTGCGTGTGCGAGCCGCCCTGAACGCCACGAGCGCGCCGCGAGCGCCGTAGCGCCGGCGAGCGCCGTCGGCAGCGCGCGACCGCCACCCAAAAGCGGAGGTACATCAGGAGCCGCAGCCGGCCTGCTCTATCAGCCCCGCAGCCGCGGTGGCGCGACCGGACCGCGGTCGCTCCAGGCGCCTTTTGGCCCCGGTTCGAATCGCGGTTGGCGCGCGCCCTCGCGGAGCGACGCGTGGCGCGCGACGCGCGCGCGTGCGCGTGCGCGCCCAGCCGAGCCCTAGGCCGTATGCCGTCTGCCGTCTGCCGTCTGCCGTCTGCCGTCGGCCGTCGGCCGTCGGCCGTCGGCCGTCGGCCGTCGGCCGTCGGCCGCCGCCGCCGCCGTAGCGGCGGCGAGCGCTCGCCTTTTGCGCGACGCGCAGTGTGGACGCGCGCCGCCCAGCGCCGGACGTGCCGGAGCCGGTCCGGCGCGCGCGCGGGCGGCCAGCGCCTGTAAACAGACAGCTGCCGCCCACACGTTCAAAGGAGAAGCCAAGACCGTATCCAGAAATAACATCGAAGGCTACGCTCTAAAAGACTCTAAAATAATTTTTTCGGGGCGGGCAGCACGCCCGCACACCTGAGACAGCCCAGTGCTTTGATACGGAACAACAGCCGCGCCCTCCCCCCGTTTTATGAGGCGGGTTCTGCTCTCTGTGCTTTTGCTGCAAGACGGCGCCTCCGCCTTCACGCAGCCGCCGATCGCTCACAACCGCGCCAAGCCACCAGTCGCCGCTCGCAGCCACGGCGCCTCCGCCTTCACCCACCCCAGGCCGCTGATCGCTCACCACGCCAAGGCGCTCGGCGCCGCTCGCAGCCAAGGCCCGGCCGCCTCAGCGCCGCAGCAGCAGGCGACGACAGCAGCGGCCGTTCTCGGCCTGTGCTCGCAGCCGATCATGTGGTGGAGCCTTTACACGCTCAAGACCACCGGGTGCGGCCTGCCTGCTGGGCCCTTCGGCCTCCTCGGCGCGGCGGAGGGGATTTCATATCTCGTCGTCATCGGTTTTGTTGCCGCCGCTCTGCTGAGCAAAGCCACGAGCGGCTCGGGCCTCCCTGCCGGTCCGGGCGGCCTCCTGGGCGCTGCCGAGGGCCTGTCCTTCTTGACTGCTATCGCGGGTCTCGTTGTGCTCGGCTTCCAGTTTCAGGACTACGGGTATTTGCCCGAGGCGGTGCCAGTGCAGGGCGGCATCTGCACGCGGCAGCTGTCTTGACGCGGGTCGATGTATGTGTTACACGAGTTCCACGGCTTTATTTGCATACATCTGCGCGCATGCACATGTTAAGACACGAATTACACACACCTCCATCGCCCTGAAGCGTGAAGGCCGCTGAACGTGAACCCGCCCGTGCACGCCGTACGCGATCGGCGCCCGAGTAGTTCAGCATATGTGGCATCGCCCCACACGACGGGCGAAAAATTACCCGCCCTCAGCCTCACTCAGCGCCCGCCGCCCCAGCCGCGCCCAGCTCTCGCCGCCGCACCGCGCGGCTCCTCGACCCGCCTCCGACCGCCTGCTGCCGCGGCTGACTCGCCCTCACCGAGACCTCGTAGGACTGGCCGCGCACGCGGATGCGCGCGACGGGGTCGCCGCGCTGGAACGCCGCCTCCAGCTCCTCTTGTGCCGGCGCGCCGAAAGCGACGAAAGCGCGAGAGAGCTCTACCTCCCACACCGCTCGCTGCGGCTGCTGCGGCGGCTGCTGCGGCGGCTGCTGCGGCGTCGGCGGCGGCTGCGGCGTCGGCTGCTGCGGCGGCAACGGTGGCGGCTGCGGCGAAGATGCCGTGAGCCGCGCGGCGATGGTGTCGCGTTGCATGCCGCTGGGCATCGCCACCGTGTAGCTCGGCTCCGGGTCGTCCACGCTGCCAGGCAGCACGGCGCTCACGGTGGCGAGGCACTGGGTGCCGTCCCGTTGCGCGTACGAGACGCTCTGACCCGTCCTAAAGCTCGCGGCGGCGGCTGCTTCAATGGGCGTGGGCGCTGTCGCCGCCGCCGGGGTCCCCTCCGGTGCCGTTGGCCGCCGCGGCTGTGCGGCGGCCCTGCGCGCCAGCGCCGCCTGTCGGTTGGCCTCCGCCCTCTGGAGCTGATCTGGGGTGGGCTGGGGCGGCTGAGATTGCGACGACGGCGGCTGCGAGGGCGGCTGCGACGACGGCGGCTGCGAGGGCGGCTGCGACGACGGCGGCTGCGAGGGCGGCTGCGACGACGGCGGCTGCGAGGGCGGCTGCGACGTCGCCGCCCCCTCCTCCTCCGACGGCGAGGCGGATGAGCCCGACTCGGAGTCGCACAGCGTCGCCTCCGAGTCAGCCTCGCTGTCGCACAAGTCCACCACCTCCGCAGCACCGCTGGCGGAGGAGGCGCCGCCGCCGCGCTGGCGCTTTGGGGGAGGCGAGGTGGTACCAGCGGCGGCGGCGGCGGGGGCAGCAGCGGCGGCGCCTTCCCCCGTGGCCTGCGAAATCAGCTCGGTCGGTGATTGGGGCTCTCTGCTGCGCGCCGCCGCCTCAGCAGGCCCGTTCCAGTCGACGAAGCTGCACCCCTCCTCCTCCCAGCCTCCTCCGCCTGCCAAGGAATGGTGCTCGAGCGACTCAACCGGGCACGCATAGTACGTCGACCCGTCCCGCCTCTTCCGCCGGACGGCCGCCGGCAAGCCGCAGTGGCAGGTGGGCAGCGCGAGCTCGAAGCCGCAGCCCGCGTGCGCCACCACGCCGCACCTCTCTTGCGCGGCCGGCAGCGCGGCGCACTCCGCGCAGATCCGCTTCCCGCAGCCGCCGCAGTCGAGCGACGAAGCGCCGTCGAGGCAGAGCGCGCCGCAGCCGTGGCACAAGCGGGCGGACGCGTCGGCGCCCGCGCTGGCCAAGGGCCGGCAGCAGTCCACGCAACGC